TCGATGGCGTTTGATAACCTTGTATGCACAATGTCTGCCAAGTATCACCTTTAAATGGTAAAGAAATGTACACGGACCTTTTTCAGCAACTATCCTCTTGGGAAACGCCTCTTTACGTTGCATCACAGATTCTTTTTTCCTTGTAAATCCTTCTCTGATACTAGTCATATTTATTGTGTTGTAATGGCATGATTAAGACACACTGATAACGAGCTTGTTTGCCAATTTGTGTTCTCATTATGAGCCCCGTGGGACTGTTTAAACAATCCTAAAATTAGAAGCGAAAATTGTCATCTGATGACTGCCAAACAGGATTGACTCTGTACCTTATATCAAACTGCAATGCAAAAGTTTTGGCAATTAATGAGAACGTCGTCCTATTTTATGCCTTCAAAATCTGTTTACCTGATCAATCTATTTGCAGTGGAGTTGATCGTGTCTCAAAACTCAGACATGGCTGCCTGTGTTTACATGTCTGTTTGCTGGGATGTAACAACTCAGGTTTCTACAAATGGACCTGTTTCTTTTATATCGCTGATTGAGCAGATTAGACGAAATGTTAACATCTCGTGAAATATTTCCTTCCACCATTGGAAAACGGAAACTGTGCGTTCCACGACTTCGAAGTTGCTTAAAATATGGACATTTTGGTATGCATTGTAATACGATACCATGCAAAATGTGTTCAGTTCGAATTTAACTCGCAACTAATTGTGAGTAGTGTTGTGTGAAAATTGATGTTGATTGAGTGTACAGTTGACTGCAAGAGTTGAGGACTGTGCGTGAATGTGAAGGCTGAGGGATGGTCAGTTTTAATGGATCAATCAAAATATGTTTACTAAGAGAAGAGGAACGCCAGATTCTTCACCAGGGAATGCACCTCTCGACCGCCCAACGTCAAAAATAGGACCGATTGGTTTTGCATTCCTTTCCCGATGCTGCTACCCACTCTTCCATTTCTGATGAGCTCCCGCGGAGGTTCAATTGTTCAATGGCAGTAATCTCTATTGCGCGACGCCAAATTGTAGTAATCAGAATAGTATTGAATATCCGAATACGAGAATCCGTACTGAACTGGATTGGCTCCAACCCGAACTGTGGACACCGGTGAGTAATCGGTAGCAGCAAATGCTTATCTTTATTGATAGAATTAGAGCATGTTTTATAGAAAGCAATAGACCATATCATTGGTTGAAGGACCATCGTCCAATCACAGACTCATCATATGTACTAACTGGGAAGTGATGTTTGCCCGGTGTAGCACTGACCGAGCTTCCTGAACTGTGATTGGATGACATGAAGCTGTACTTGGTCGTGCTTGGAATGCGGTCACGTATGCCTGGATCCTCATACCTAACAGTTGCTTAACTGTAAACTGTACGACTGCGCAACACTTACCCTGTTCTTGGCGCAACATTTTACCACACGTTCATCCACCAATTTTGATCGCGTGACTTGGGACATCGCTCACGTACGAACTGATCCACTGACGAATATTGAACCGTTGGTTGATTCATTGTGACTACGCGTGATTGGTTGACCAACAAACTGTCACTTCA